CTTAAAATTAGAGTTATGCCGCTATAAAGAGTAAATTTTGTGAAAATTGACGAAGCGTAATGTTTTAACGACTCAACACTTCTCAGAAGATTATTGAGCTCTTTGTGGCAGCTTGTAAGGTATTTTGGCTACTTTAAGGTTTAAGACATTGGAAACAAGGACGGTCAAGATTCAAGATACCGTGAATGTAACACTTAGTTTTTTGGGGTAAGTAGGAGTTAAAGTGACGTGTGCCTGCTAAAAGTTGACGGGCACGAATAAACCTGATTTTTTCCTGATTTTAAGACTGATACTGTGAAGCAAATACCGTTGGCGAGACGTGTACAAAATTAATAAGATTTTTGATGATACTACGCTATCAACGATTTTAATGAAATCTGGTATCATTTAGGTGCATGTTTGTTACAGTTAAAGCCAGTTTTACAGTCTCTTAACAATCATAATCCACAAAAAAAAGAAAGGAAATAAGTTCGTACGGTGTTGGTCTACACTTCTATAGTAAAAGGCAGTAAACAAGAACTCTGTATGACTAAGCTACACGCCTCGATGACTTTACCAAATTCAAAGTCATTCAACAGTCGTTAACTCAAAATCTCGAACCGTGAGAGAAACTACGAAAACAAAGACTAATCCGAACAGTAGCTAAAACCAACTTTCACAAAAGAAATATGCAAAAGTCATGCGTAATACTAACAATGGTGTACACAATGCTACCCTAAATCTTATCATTAAGGAGCTAATCCTTCAACGAAAAATAGTGATAATGGAACTTAATCCTCTGAACAATTCATTCAAAGGAAAACAGGACAGGAAGACCCAGGAGCCAAGAGAATAATTGAAGTAATATTTACTGTGGTTCTTAGGATACAACTTGGTCTACATGGACGTATTTATGTATAACTCTTTCGCAAAATAGCGGGCTGGTTTTATGTGATATGGGTAGAAAGATCGTCTGAAGGTAAACAATTCTATACCTACTTAGGACTTATATGTCATAGTCCATAGAGAAGAAATCATTATAAAACTTGTCCTAACTACCAAAAATACTACGCTATGTTGACAATACACTATTGTTGAACTGAAAACCAGTAAAACATGATTTTAGCCTAGGGGTCTGACCTAACCATAGAATAAAATAACTACATCGCATTGTAGTAGGTACAAAGCCCTAAGTCCATATACAGGACGATGACAGAATTGTTCACAAAGGGAAATATAAACTGCAAAGCTGGAATTTCCAAGAATCCTGTCAAAATAGGTTACTGGACATAATCCCTACAACGTCCGGCATCGATTACTTGCCCGCTAAACACAATACTTAAGCCTCCATTGTAGACAAAAATATGTCAAAATAATGCTTTGTCCAACCCGGAAGGATTAAGTCTTAAGAAGTGGGAAGATAACGTTTTCAATCAAACGTTATTTCGTTTTTGCATAACTCTAACCGTATGATAAAATGGTGATAAGGACGGAACGATGGAAGAATGGTTCAACCATTTTTTGGATTTTTGGGATTTGTTTTTGCCTTGCAGTTTAGAGGATGTTAGACATGGTTAAGGACGGATTATAAGATATTACAGAATGTACAAAGTACATGAATTTGTATAATTGCAATTTTACTCTTTGCGCATTCAATGCTTTACTTATTAGACCAGTTCGCGATTGACCGTACAAGTGTGCACACAAGTCATTTTTATATCAAGTATTGTTTTAATAAATTTCTATAATTCAACAAGTTTTATTTATCAAGATTATCAGTAATCAAGACAAGAGCATTAGCTCCAACACAGAAATAGGTAGAAAATTGTACATAGATGACAAACAACTGTACCTTAAAACCACCAATAAATCCAAGTTAAACCAATTAAAAAAATCAAACAAATCAGTTCGAATCGATCATTTATTTCGATAATTGCTTTAAACACAATAAGTTAACTGAATAAGTACAATATATATAAGTTACCTTTGATAATCATTGTTGCCCAATGTCGGTTCTTCTTAAGCTTGATCAACGTACGTAGTAGGAGTAGGGACTGTAGGCGTAGGAATAGGGAAGCGCGTAGTCGTAGGCACTGTAAGAGTAGGCGACAGGCGCGGTGTAAGCACTGTAGGCAGCCACAGGAGCACTGTAGGAAACTGGATAGTCGTACTCCACTACCAGAGGTTTAGGCTTTGCTGAGGCAAAAGCCAGGAGAGCAGCGAACAATACCTGTAGGAAGAAATAAAATCAGAAGTGTTTTGTTAAATTAATATTGCACAGGGCTCATAATCTAAGATGTAATTAAGTCGACCGGAACCATATGGGTCTCTTGGTGGAGAGAATACTTTGTACAATAAGGGAAGGATTATTAAGGTAAATACTTAGTCCAAAAATAAAGGCAAAAAGGCTTAGTTATGCATATAAGGACCTTAACAAAAAATAAAACATCGGAATAGTAAATAAAGCACGAACATAAAAATCAAAAGATAAATATCCAAGACACATTTTAAATCAAAAATCAGTAAAATATAGGAACTTACGAATTTGAACATCTTGAGGTGGTTTTGGTTTTGTCTGAGGCGTTAGACACGGCAGGACACAAGATCCGATGTGTAGATAATGATTGATCAGACAACAGTTCCCTTTTATATATCATCGAATCGATAAAAATACGTGCCTGGTATAGTGCGGTCAAAGGATAAACCGTCAAATTATCCTGTGCACGCGCAGCCTTGCGCAGTGTCACCGGACGGAAAAGGTTGTATTAGACCAAGGACTGCGCCTGACTATACTTCTAAGCATGGTGTTTGACCCCGATCCCGAATAATACGACTATAACCCATAAGGATAAACGACTAATGATAAAAATATGAATAATTTAAATTCTACTTGCAATATGGAGAGGAAAACGATCTCTGTTCATGCTGGTACCTGAGACGTCTTCGAGATACCTGGCACTGACAAAACATTCCCCAATGAAATTATGTACTTAAGTAGGTATAGGTAAGTACATTTTTAATGTTTTTAAATCTTAATTAAAGAATATGAAAATTAATAATTACTATTACTAAAGAAAATGAAATTATATTCGATATCAGCTAAGGGTTAATTCAGATAAATATTTTGAAGTTTCTTGTATCATTCTATAGAATGAAAAGAAAATAGAACGACGGGCAGTACGTATGCAATATTTAACCATGATCTAATCTAGATACCAACATATCATACCTATGTCGCTAGGTAACTGCTGCAGTGCCTCCCCTAACAAACTCCTCAATAAACGATAGATCCCATTAGTAAGACGACTAAACATGATTAGCCTTCAATTTGTATAATACGAACAAACCCGAGCTAACCCGTGCTCCGTTTAATAACAATTTACGTCTAACGAACTCGTGTAACAAAACTCCGTCATTTTGTCGAGCGATCCGCCATGATTAGTGAGTGAGGTACCTTTCGCGCCATTTTCGCAGTAATGGCGACATACACTCCCGTTACAGTAATTACCGCCCTTTGAGAGCTGAGCCGAGCATTGCCGGTAAATACTGCTTTGTCGATAGTTATCTAGGGGTTAGTTTTACTTTCAATAGGTGTTGCCCGCGACTTTGTCCGCGTAGAATATGAGTTTTAGGACATAACTATATTTTATTCCAAGATATGAAAATTCTGCGGGAACTCGACCACGCAACAACGGGAACTATGTGGGAAGACTGGGAAGAACCAAAAATCTGTCGGAAGTCACTATTCTACGCGGACGAAGTCGCGGACAAAAGCTAGTTCCAAAATAAAAATAGCCTATGTTCCTACTCCTTAGTATATCAGCTACGTCCCAGTAAAAGTCCCGTCAAAATCAGTTCAGCCATTTCAGAGATTACCTAGCCAATATAAACAGTGAGATAGTAATTTAAAAAAAATATACATTGTTTCGGTATAATATGTATCGTTTGTATATTCATAGTAAAAAGCGGTTAATTTAATATTACAAACAGACACTCAAATTTTATTTATCTGTATATTTATATAGACTTATAGATGTAGGTATAGATAGATGTGTTCTGGTTTGGTGTTGGCTTGGTGATGGTGACGCACACCTATTTTGATAGGTGTGATTCGGAGTCGCGGAGAACCTAACGGGTAACCGGGGCTCCGGCTCGACGTGCAGGAGAAGGAACGGGGTGGTTTTTAGTCAGTAAGAGTCTGACACTCCCTCCCGCCTCACCCAGGCGGGAGCAGTCATTCGATGATTTTCCCACCTTAAAAAAAAAAAAAAAAAAAATTTGATAGGTGTGTTCTCTGCAAGTGTAGAGATCAAACCCTCTTATGTGGAAAATGCTCACAGTCTAGTGGAAGACTATATTATTATGTCTTCACCCATAATTTGTATTATATCGCAAGCCCTTTGGAGAATAAAATAAGCAATACCTACATTCGTTATACTTAGGTATACATATCTCAAACCAATGTCTGAAACGGTCAAATTTTTTTATAGGTTTTCTGAGCTGAACATAATAATCTCACGGACCATTCATACATTTGGGTTCAGGACCTTCTTATGATCTAGCTAGACTTAATGTGAGCTTAACTACTTACCTATCCAATATTGCGTATTATAACAGTTTTTCATTGCTTTTTTTTGTGGAGTGCCATTGGAGAGACCTATGTCCAACAGTGGAAAAACACGGGCTTATGATAATGCTGATGATGAAGAAGATTTTTTCAAAATGTTCATCTATTTCTACAAAATTTATACTAGTAACGACATCTATGTGAAGTCTACTTCTAACCACATTTGTATTAGTTACAGTTTTTTTCAAGAGGTGGCACTGTTGGTCACCAATGGAACATTTTATGGGCATTTCGCCTATTTCATTAATAAAAACAATCTATTGACATAATTGCTAGTATGAAGTGTAAATATAAAATAAATAAAATTATTTCTGGACAACTAAATAAAATCATTGCACCGTTTCTGAACGTATACCTCAAATGTCATTAATGTCATCATTATAAATGTCAAACAAAAGTTCATCTCGATTTGTGTTTGTGTCATTGACAAACTGAACTTGTTTGATAATTTTTATTGGAGTTAACGAAAATAATAAATATACAATGATCGGTGTGCGCCTGAACTCTTTTAATGATAGTTCTGGTGAACCAGAACAAGATGCTAACTCTGCATTAACTGAATTAGATAAAGGTAAAACTTAACCTTATTTTGTGCTTGCCTAAATGCCTACTTCAATAGAACAACTAACAAAATTATACTATTTTTAGGTCTTCGATCAGGTAAAGTGGGCGAGCAATGTGAAGCTATCGTCCGTTTTCCGCGTTTATTCGAAAAATACCCATTCCCTATACTCATAAACTCTTCATTCTTGAAACTTGCTGATGTGTTTCGTATGGGGAATAATTTCCTTCGTCTGTGGGTGCTACGTGTCTGTCAACAAAGCGAGAAGCATTTGGACAAGATTCTGAACGTGGATGAATTTCTAAGGAGGGTTTTTAGTGTGTTACATTCAAATGACCCGGTGGCCAGGGCTCTGGCTCTAAGGACCCTTGGTGCAGTGGCTGGGATCATACCAGAGAGGCAGAATGTCCACCACGCTATACGTAGAGGCCTGGACAGCCATGACAATGTGGAAGTTGATGCTGCAATTTATGCTACTACTAGATTTGCTGAGCATTCCAAGTAAGAATTCTTCTCTTAAGAACTAGTCATCACTTTGTTACCTGGATTAAAATATGTAAACAATCATCATTTTTGCAAATTTACTATATTTACAAGTATATACTTTAGTAAGTAGTACTGTGAAATGTAGTGAATGGGGATCGAAAGGTGAATAGGGACAGAAGAAGGGTGAATAAATATATGGAAATTCTTTATAGTATCAATTCACCCTTATCTATCCCTTTTCACCGCTTAAACCCTATTCACCCCATTTTACCATATATAATAACTTGATGACTTGTATTATAATTATTGTATTTGTTATCTGGATCTCAATACCTAATAACTACCTGAAGAAATGTAATGGCAAAACCACTTTATTCTAAAAACTTTATGTTGATTTTAGATTGAATCCTATCTTTTGTAATAACAATCATGCTTTTTTCAGTGCATTTGCAGTAGCCATGTGCAATAAACTGTGGGATATGGTGGACTGTGAGAGCACTGCAGCAGAGCGCAGAGCTAAGCTGGTGAGAGCTCTCCGGACAGTGCATGGAGGAGGTAAGGCGTTTCAGAAACATTAAATTATATTCTGCTATAATGTTTATGTTGAATCATTTATAAAAGGTATCTGGAGATTGATATCAAAACATTGAGAATGAACTGTGAAATCTTACTGTACAATGGATGTCACTTTGTCACTAGTTTGTAGAATAGATTGCAAAGGTTACATTTACAAGTTTAAAATACTGATTAAAACAATCCATTTTTCATTCCCAAGCTGTGAGAGCTCAAGGAGTTCTGAAGCTGCTCCGTTCCCTGCTGGAGAGGTTCCCATCTTCTAGTTCTGTGCGCGCCGCTATAACTGCACTCACGCATATTGCAGCAGACACCGTTGTTCATGTCCCTGATCAAGTAAGTATAAGCGTGAATTTTTTTTTATTTTTTATACTATTTATTGTTAAGGTTTCTTTCCTAGACTGACTGTTTCATACTCTGATTAAAAATCTCTAAAAAAACCAAATGGTTAATGAAATAAATATGTGTAGTAATCTCAAACTGCAGATATAATATATATATATTACAGTAACGCGACACCCAATCTATCAAACTTTAATAGATTTATGGTAAAAAAAGTTGTACAATAATTTTTGATGTAAGACCATTTATTTTTTTCCCTCTCTCTAGGTGGAACTCCTCCTCAGCCTATCAGCGAACGACGCTCGCTCGTCAGTCCGTCGCGCGGCACTGCTGGGGCTCCGTAAGCTGGCGGAGCACGCGGCGCTGTGGCCGGCCGACTGCGTCGAGAAACTGGTGCGCGCCGCCACCGACGCACAGGAGATGGAACATACCATGCTGTGTCTGCAAGTTATGCAGGTCTGTTCAATTACTTGTTGAAAAAGTGGCATGCAGTCTTTATTTTAAAAAAAGAACTGAGCTACTAAAGTACCTAACATGTTTATTGTCTGATGGAACACAGGCCATGGACTTCACCACAAATATTTTCAGGGTGTCATCGCATCAATAATGTCTCAGTAGAACATCTCGTTATATAGTCTGCAACATATCTATTTTTTTTTAAGTGGGGATAATCATCGAATGAATGCTGCTCCCGCCTGGGTGAGGCGGGAGGGAGTGTCAGACTCTTACGGGTCTGGTTCTGGTCGGGCGGCGAGCCACCCATGCTCGCCGTCCGGTATCCGGTATCGTCCGTCCGCAGTAGTATACAAAACTACATCCTACAAGCACTGACAAAGCGACTTCGTATTCCAGAAGCTGGTATCGTGCCCCGCGGTATGCGCGGGCGCGGGGTCCCCGGCGGAGGGCTGCGGGGCGCTGCGCCGGTACTGCAGCGAGGCCGCGCTGTCGGCAGACCTCACTCGCGCCGCCACTGCCGCTGATGTACTTACTAGACTTATCGTGCACTGGTATGTAGTAACTATTTTGAGTGCTTATACTTACTTATTATATATACCTGAAGATATATTAGGTACCTGAAGGTTATGTATTAACAAAATTATGCTTTTAGCTATGAAGAAAATCTGCCAGTAGAAGGAGGAGACTTGATGCTAGCGCTAGAAACCTTGGTCATTGCTACCGGAGAGAATAATAGTCCGAGTAACATCAAGGCGCTAAGAGTTGCACTGCGATGCTTGGTAAGTTATAGACTTAAATACAGTATTAAGCCAAATTCATTGCCAATCTTTTCCTCTATTTTATATACTTGTTTTTTTTTTTCAATTTTTGTACTATTGAATATCATTGTTGTCTAAAACATAAATTTAGAGAGCAATGAGTTTCACGGAGTTGAGAATTTTAATGAGATATTTGTCTTCGACAGTCTTCTTTGTAATTTTTTTTTTAATAAATTCCGAATATACATATTTAACTCGTCGAGTACCGTCATTATAGACACAATTATAGAACAATAGGTTGCGGTCACCGGTGACCGCTTGGTGTTTGACAGTTTACTACAAATGCGAAAATAAACATTCCCTATATTCAGGTGCAGCTAAGTCGCGCCGAGCCATCCGTGTACGCGGCGCGCACGGCGGCAGTAGTGGGGCGCGGGCTGGCGGGCGCGGGCGGGCCGCGCGCCCCCGCGCTGCTGGAGGCGCTGGCCGCGCTGGCCGGGGCCCCGCACGCGCCCGCGCATCTGGGGCCCGCCCTGCCGGCCCTGCATCATACACTTGAGCAGATGCAACGGTACGATACCATATTATGATCAAGCTTTGTTATCTTCACTCCTTAGAATGAGTAGTAGTATTTTTACAGTTTTATGCTGTTCTGAATTAGGCAAATATCTGTGAATGTGTCAAACTATAACTTATCAATGTGGGTGAAATCAAAAATTTATGACTGTCCGTGAAATAAAAATTTCAGATTTCTACTGTTTTATTTAGTTTTTTTACAAGCTTATTTAGTTTTTTTTCTGTATGTATTTAAATATTAAAATGTTTTAATGATTTAGGGGCCCTATTATCAATTTAATATTTAATTATGCATTGCTTATTTCACACATTTTAAAATTGTCTAACCGATTATAATTTCTTCCAGAGACAACACAATCGAGAACCCTCCCGACGACGGCACGACCCTCGTGTTACTATGTACCGTACTGCTGCAGGAGCGCGCGGGCAGGGCGCTGACGCAGAGACTGGCGCCCGCCTGGCAGGGACGGCTGCTGGCTGTCGTACAGGGCGCCGACGGCTGGGTGCGGTACAGGGTCGCCAGGGCCGCACTCAGGTTAGTTAGCGCCATATTGATTTAGAACACATAATTAAATGATTTTTACTGACGTAATTTTTTATGAGAAAGTTTTAGATTTGTGTCTATGTTAAACATTGAAGTTCAAAGTTTTTGGTATATGCGTAAATTATTTTGATGATTTTCTTACATTGGATAAACGCTTAATTTGACTTTGCGCAACCGATATGACATGCGCAAACTTTTGCGCAACGTAAATTGTTGAGCTGGGTCAGGCCAAGTGTAAATTTTGTTTTGACAATATAACCCAATAGAAGTCTTCACCTAGCGTACATTGAAAATTACTAACTTTATCAATTATTATCTTCGTATAGATACGGACACCACCGCCTAGCAGGAGGTATCCTGGCGCGTCTCTCGCAAGAAGCCCCGAGTGAGCCGGCACAACGTTGGCTTACTGCACTACATCGCGCTGCACTCGCTGACGCTAAGCTGGTGGAGGAAGGTTCGTGATGTTTGTTTTGTTAGGCGTAAATATTCAAACAACTTATTCAAAAACATAAATTCGGTATAAATAAGCAGACTCTTAGTTAATTTACTTTCATTTGCAGAGTTAGGTAATTCACTCATAACACATTATATTATCAATCATAAATTATGTTTCACATCAGTGACTCCCACATCAGTTGTTCATATTTATTTATTTATTTATTTATATATGCTTTATTGTACACATTTATGTAGTTTAAAACAAACAATTTAAAAAAAAATTCTTTAAACCCAATTCAAGTAAATATGCGTACAATGGGCGGTCTTATCACACAATGGTGATTTCTTCCAGACAACCTTTGGATGGAAATATTTGTAAGAAACCAGATAAGGGGTAGTTACGTGTACAATAAAATAAAAAAAAAGACAAAATAAAAAAGCCTACAATACAACCTACAATAGATATAATATACTAGCAACATATAAAAAGAAATACATAAATAATATACAAAAATACAATAAGCTATGTGTGTGTGT